GTAAGGGATCTTGTACAGCCCGAGACACGTGTTTCGTCCTTACAGACTCATCAGCCGGGCAGAACCCGTCGTGTCTTTCTTTTTATAGTCAGTTCTCCTCGGGAGCGTTACACTCCTTGTAGAGAGTAATCGACGACGTACGCTTTACACTCAATGTCAAGTGAAACGTTCACCCAACACAGAGTGTTTCACACTCGATTGATCGCTGCTGTATTTCTATCATACCATACCTTTATTTCGAGTGCTTTATTAAGACCACGCTCAAATTTCAATAGATCCTTTCATTATCATTTGAGCCTCTTAATAAAGTACTCGAAATAAAGGTATAATATGATAAAAATACCAGCCAGCGGCCAATCGAGTGCGAAAACACTCTGTGTTGGGTGAATGTTTCACTTGACATAGAGTGTAAAGCGTACGTCGTCGATAACTCTCTATAAGGAGTGTAATGCTCCCGATAGAACTGACTATAAAAAGATCGACAGACGACGGGTTCTGCCCGGCTGATGAGTCTGCAAGGACGAAACACGTGTCTCGGGCTGTACAAGAGCCCTTACCAGACCACATGACATGTTGGCTCAATGAATGATGAAAGGTATATATATATATATATAATATTATCTATATATCATATATATAATAATAATATAAAGGATAAAGCTCTCGCCGTTGATCAATCTCTGAGGGATGCGCCATGCATTCGACTTCAATTTTAACTTCGTTTGAGGTGATTGAATGCATATTTGGCCTTTACAATGACTCGCGGTGGCCTCCCGCTGAACCGAGTCAGTGCTGCCTATCCTCCCAGACAAGTCTGAGACCGTCTGGTACCATTTACCGACCACGAGGGAAGGATGACTTGCTAAGCCATGAGCGTGACATCGAACATTGACCTCGTGTGCACGCAGACGCCTCCAACCACTGCGCCACATGCACTCTATGTCATGTACAGTACATACTATGTATATATATGCATATGCATGCATATGTCGGTGTAGAGATAAAGGATTAGGTTGCTGACATTATTTAATCACTGAGGGATGGACGAGCTAAGCTGTCGACTTTATCAATCGTCGTTTGAGTTGATCCTATGCATATCTGTCCTATGAAATGACTTGCGTTGGCCTACCGATGTATCAAGCCAGTGTTTCCAGATAGATCTGCTACTACCAGGCTGACTACAGAAGCAGGAAGAGGAGATGAGCTGCGCGAGCACGACTGAACCATTGACCGTTGCAGGACACTTTTAATCACCGCGCGCAAGAGTCATTGTGTATAAATATGTTTATATAAACAAAAAGCATGTAATTTGAGTTGCCCAATTGCAAATATCACCTTTACGAGTGAATTTCAGTGCTTCAAGTAAGCCTTTTCCTTTATTTGGTCGTGATCACCTCGCAGCAAGCGGTGTCATTTTTAATTTTGTTGCTTTGCTTTTCGCGCACAACCAACTCTTGCAATGCAAGACAATAGCTGTGCACATTCACTTACACTTATAATCAAAATTTCTGATTGTGAGAAATAACTAGAGCTTTCTTAGCTACTGATCTGCACGTCTTCAGAAGTTGTGCTCTCATTGTCTCGTATCGTCGTGAATGGTGGTGCTTCAAATTAAGCATAATAGCTGATGCGGGTCTCATACCGTGATCTGTTGAACATTAAAACATCAAGAGATGCAGGAGCAGCTGGTAATTTTGCTTACGAATACATCTGCCCAACTTTTAACTGGTCGTCCTCGAGAATAGATGTATTCCGAAGTCCACTTTTTAGTTCTTTTCGTCCATCTGTCATCTGCCCTTTTTATTGTATGGTCCGCCGATTTGTCTGTCATTATCAATGTACATTGTTTTGAATCACGAAGATGGGACAGACTGCGGCGTAAGAAGGCTAAACGTTGTGAAGTGCCGAGCAAATTTTAGAATGAATCGTTTAAGCCTTTGAAGAGCTGTTTCCAGTAGTCTGACATAGTCGAAGTACCAACCGGCATCTTCGCTGCATCACAAAACGCTGCGGGGACTGCCGTGGTGAAAAGATTGTCACGCAGCTTTGAGTCCGTCGTTTGGTCAAATGTCTCTTTGAGAGGTTCCAATGCAGTCCTTCCTCTATGTAATACTTCCTTGAAATTGTTTTTCATGTTCAATGAACATCAACGTACACGCACGAGATGGTTTCCAACAATCAAAGAACCATTCATATTGATTTGCTCACCATTTTACCATTAGTTTTTCATGAACTAGGTCTTCTTCCGATTCATACGTATTCTGACCTATTTTTCCGCTTCAGTAAATTTATTGAGCTCGTGTCTGAATCACTGGTAGTTCCGAAAAGATAAAGATGTCATCTGATCTGCAAAATAAAAATTTGACACTGTTTAACACATCATTGATCTCTCTTAACAGTGTTTTTTTTTCACTGTGCGGATCCCACTACTTTTAGCATTCAAATCGTTTCTTCGTCTTCTTCCTGAATGTCGCAGAATACTAATTGAGCGAGTCTTCTTGCAATCACGAGGATAGCCTGTCCGTGGCGTCCCATAAGGGGATGTTAACTTCCGAAGAGGATTGAGGGGGTGTGACGTTGCTTCACTCGAGCAGCACGAGCATCGCAACCACTCGACCACGGCGGCCCCAGATATAAAGTTTGATAGGAATTTTCCATCATTACATCACCTTCGTCCATCCCTTCGGGGTCAGTCAAGTAGTACCAGACTGGTCTCAGACTTGCCTGAGAGGATGAGCAGCACTGACTCGGTTCAATGGGAGGCCACCGCGAGTCACTGTAAAGGCCAGATATGCATTTAATCACCTCAAACGAAAATTAAAAATTGAAGACGAATGCATGGCGCATCTCTCAAGGATTGATGAACGCCGAGAGCAATATCCTTTTATCCTTTACGTATGCTCTCCTCGTCCCAATGAAGCAACTTTATTATCCACGGTAGAGCGGTGAACAGCTTTGGCGATATCATATCACTTTATCGAGCCCCTTTTGCAGTGTATATGGCAAGGAATAGAAAAAGCTGCATTCTTATGGCGAAGTTCTGATAGCAGTTTGATAGAGCTTTTGTATAGGACGGATCCACCCTTTGGTCGACAAGCGCTGATAAGTCTGCATTTGTTTTGACGCTATCAAACGCCTGTTCATAGTCGATAAGAGTCAGGGTTAAGGGCAAGTAGGATTTTCAACAGACTTCTCTAACCCTTATAATTAAATTCAACAGATACCTAATGCACCTGTTAGTGGGAATGCTATATTCTTCTATGGTAAATGGCCTAGTCATCTGTGATTAGGTGAACATGGAAAACACATGCTTTTTTGGAAAATTTCTAGACTGAAGTAGGAGCGACAATATTTGTCTAGAAAAACTGCGCACACAGGCGCCGACTTTGATATGGATAAATCATTTAGAATCAGAGCGCTTAGCGTCACTGTAGATAATTAGTTTGCACTTTCGGCTCAAGTTTTCATGCTGCGTTCATCCCAAGTGTCACAGTATTCCGTCAAGAATTTCAAGAAGCATTTAGTGGTAGCGATCTGCGCAAACGAAAACAAGGGCGACTCTAACAAAGACCACGGCGAGCATGAATAAAACATTTCGATTATGTAAATTACGAAATGACTGTTTTAGAAAAACTATGCTATGCCAAAATAAGGGTTTCAACGAAAAGAAACTCCCAGTAAGAGGAAAAAAATGAGTATGAATAAGCACTAACAAATATTTCATTTAACTCTTCGCTCTGAGTGTTTTTTTAAGATCACGCTCAAATATTAATATGCCTGATAATTACTTCTGAGCCATGCATGTGGTCTGCTATGGGTGCACTTGCATGTGGTCTGCTATGGGTGATACAGCACAATACACGTGTTTCGGCCTTGCAGCCTCGTCAGTCGTTCTGTCTTTTTCGTCTGAACCAATCCATCTTGGGACTGATCCTCCTTACATAAGGGAACCGCAGATGTAATATACTTCCACGAGCTGTTAAGTGATGAAAATTACCAAATAGCGGTATTACACATTTGATTCTTGACTGATAATCTGAAAATATCACACCGTTTGTTCCAAGTGTTTTCTCAAGGCCACCTGCACATTTCAATATGCCTGATAATCATCTTCCGTGTTCCATTTTAGCTTATTACTCAGCGTTATTGATAGCCAACGGACACGGAACTCCTCATTTACATTTTCGACTCAGTTCAGCAGTCCTCTGTGCACTTTTGAAGCAGCAGAGGCCCAAGCTGATGCTTCAAGCACGTCGAGAATTCTGCGAACCACCTATGCACTGCTGGAACGATGTTTTACAATCTCTAATCGACTTTCAAAACATTCAGCCAGAATGTACACGTGAGATCCTTGAAACCTCGATTAATTGGACACAGTTTAGAAGGATGAGAGTGGACGAAAAAAGCAATGAGTGAATTCCTACAGAATGCAAGCGACCTTTTGGGAGATCAGGCAAACTATGGGCGGACGTGTTCGTTGCTAACGCCAACGATTTGCATTCGATGATGGGAACAATTCCAGGAACATGGAACGGGATTCGAGGACGTCACCACGTTCGAAGAAGGTTACCACCGTGGTGAGTAATCATGAAGCAAAAAAGCTGAAGTACTATTGTCCATACCACTCATTAGGACGGGCCGTCCAAGTATTTATATGGGTAATAATTCATTTAGCCTATGAAAAAATGAAACTACGTAATCGGAAATCAATTTATTAGACCGCCTATTGCGTGTTATGATGTTACATTAAGCCCAATGTAATGTGCAAAAACGTTTATGTCGACCGGGATTCGAAACCAAATCTTACTCTTTCGGGGAGCATGCTCTAAACCGTTGCACCACCGACGCTTTGTTTTTAATGACTTTCGATCAATTATTGAAACTCAATATCTGTCAGTATAAGTAGGTTCAAGATCGATAATAACTGCCTCGCCACACCGTAGACGGTTAGCTGTTGACAGGTAACGCGTTGTAGCGTGAAAGAGTGAACTCCGAAACGAGCGTCGGTGGTGCAACGGTTCAGCACATGCTCCCGAAAAGAGTAATATCTGGGTTCAAATTTCGGTCGACGCAGTCGTTTTTGCACACCACTTTACATCATTGGGTTTAAAGTAAAATTGTCTCAATAAAGTTATTTAAAAGTTATACGAAATGCTTCCAACATTCTTCACAAAGTGAAATTTCATTTCGAATTATTGTGGTTCGATATTTACAACCGAGTTATATCAAAAGGTGCGATTCCGTTATGCGATATTCAAAAATGTATGGCTCGGTACGCTTGGGTGAAATTTGGCTGCTTTAAGTGTGGATATGCAACGTTAGAAAACCTACTCGTTTTCTACTTTACCGCTAATTTTCTACTGATTCAACTATTTTCTGTTTGTTTTAGATTTTCCACCCTGATAACTCCGCTGGGATCCGATAAAAGCCAGGAGTTGAACTCGTGATTTCGGATCATAACGATCTATGAGCAATGGTGCCATCTTTAACACACTTGTAATAGCCTGAACCATCGCGAGTCTGGTCAACATTCAATTGTTCAAATTTCTTGCCTATCTTAGTATATATATACATATATATATATATATATATATTTATTATTATTTATTATATATTAGAATCCACTATGTACGTGGCAAACTAATTTATCGAGATTGCCGCCCTACTGTTCAGATCTCAAAATGAAAAGTTCAAAACAGGCTGAAAAAAACCTTTCCGAAGAGACATATTTCAGGGCAATCGATTCCGCGGATCCACTGAAGTCAATGCGTACAGGGCCCGAATCACGCGTGACCTCTAAGGAAGTCATATGTCACGAATGTGTCAAGGATATCAATGATTGTCCATTCCGCCATTTCTACAAATAAGTCCTGGATTTAGTAATAACTATCAAAAAGTGAGAATTATGCAACTACAGCAAATGTACAAAATTTTTTCTCTTTCAAGAAGCAAAAGAGTGAAGGTATTCTTTCCAACTTTCTGTTATAAAGACAGAATGATAACATAGCAGCAGCTCCAGTTAGTATTTACAAGAAGATAGGGGGGACTGGACCGAGTAAAAGATCTAAATATGAAGAAAGAGAAAAGATAGAAAAAAAATCATGAATTGAAAACCAGTATTATTATGTTTTCTCTAATAAATGCTTCGATCATCACTTAAACCAATTTACATGTGAAGGAGTGTTCACATGCATAATTTTGCTGCCCATCAGGAACTGTCTGCAGTTTTTCAAGAATTTTTCTCAGAGAAATCAATTATTTTGAAGGTCGTGATGTAATAAAAACTGTGGCGCTAGAGTTCTCACTGACTTACTGACGAAGAAAAGGTCAAAGTACACATTGAACCCAAAATCAAATGTAAGTGAAGTTGAAAAACTACAGAATTCCACTCAAAAGTATATAGTAACGGCCATCAGCTAAAGAATATCAATTAAGAGGTCACCGGCGAGTTCGGTGATTCTGCTACGGTACAGAAGTTGCTATTCATGAATATTCAAGCAATAAAACTCTTTCTTCTACAAATAAACGATCAAATGGACCAACATACGAATATTTTTCCGGCTTTCGCATAGTGATGAATCAGTTGTTGGTTGGCTGATTTGAATTTCAGTTTTGGCGACGAAAAATACGTTATTCAAAAAAAAAAGCAGCTGTCATTTCTCAACGACCGAATAATATCGACGACAAATGACGAATGGAAAAACGAACGTAAGGGAAATAAACCGAATCGGAACGTTGGCTTTTTCGAAGTGGATCGCTTGCGCTTTAGAAACCGACAAAAGAAATCTGCTAAGTGACCTTCACGTCGCATCATTAAGACGATAGTCGACACTCCACGGAACTTAAGGCAAGTTATTTCCTAAGCGAATTTCATTCAAATCCTTTTCAAGTGAACAAAACAAAAGCAGTTTAAGTATGTGGCCTGAACGAGATGTTCTCACCTCTTTTGAGTTTCAAATCTTCTCAGTTTCTCAAAGACTGCTGAACCAATCTGTGTTTCCAACGAGAAAAGAAGACTCGTACTTATCGTCGTAGCAAGCAATATGTTTTCTATGCTTGCATTTATTCTGCGAAATTTCTTTTAGATATACGTCTCATTGTTAGTTCGTCAGAAGTGTTTGTATTTTTCAAAGGTAAAATGGCCTAATAAACCGAATTTGAGAGCTGCAAAGGAGCTAGTTCTATTTTTACCAGTACTTCAAAGCACGAACTCTATGACTGGTAGAATGTGGTAATAACAAACTCCATTTAGAAAATGACTGAGGGAGCTAACCGTATTTGATTAGTGTTTCTTGATCAATTAAGGAAATTAGTAGGAAAATGTAGATACGTAATATATGAAGAGTAACGTCGATGGAAAACACTCAGAAGAGGAGGTCCCAAAAGAAATGGACAAGTAAGAGTGGAGTGGACCCTCATTGAAACGAAACACATCGGAAAAGAACGAAAGACAATCAAGAAAGGCTTTCAAATTAGGAAGGACTAGTGTATTGAAAAGGCTGAATGAGTTGTTGCAAAACTCTGTGCAACTAAAAGGATCGTGCCCATCCTTCGTAATCATCATCTACTGTACGAAAATGAAAATGGACACCTCAAGCAGTTTTTTTGATTCTATCTTTTTCATTCATAACGAAAAAACTAGCGGAAATATTTCCAGAACTTTTTTTAGGTGCATATGTCGAAAGCTGTAATCTTGGTTATTTTTGATTGACCGTTGCCAATAGACTGGCTTCCGTTTCCCAAAGTGATGAAGGTGACTGATTGTACTGCATACATTTTGTGCAAGATTACGAAACTTTGCGAGCAAAATAGTTGTGTCAATTGTTCAGATGGACTTTGAAATCAACGTAGCATTAAGAGCTCGCACTGAAATGAAAAACCTATGAAACTGTATAAAAAGCGTGTGTTATCAGGACTACGGGTCTTCTGCTCGGTGATTAGTTCGTGATTGAAGTGGGTGGGCAAATATTTGTTTGAATGAGCCACAACTCTCATGCCGTAACATTTCAATTCAACGCCCACACCACCGACTCTTAGAAGCCAATGAGAAAATTTCTTTTTGATTTTTGTTTTGTTCGAATCTGTTTCCCCTCTGGTGGGCGAAATTGCCATTTTTGATAGACAAACGAAGTCAAAGAAAAAAAGAATTGTTGTAAGATCAAGGCAGCTCAAAAAAGGAATACTGTCTGCTCAACTCAATGAACCGAGTTTATTTTGTTCATACTAGACAAGATTTTACCAGCAAGAAATTCAAACTGTGACGGAAAAATTAGTGAACGTTAAGAAATCCCTGAAAAAAAGACATCGATGGAAATCTTCTGCTGCGATTTACGAGGTGTAAATGGTTTTTTAAATAAAATTCTCCGCTGTTAACGTTACTTGATGCCTTAATACTTGTATGGTGGGTCCTTATTGAGAATCATTAGAGCCCCATAGTAGCTTCAATTTGATCGATAATCTGTAGATCGGATAAGATCTGGCATTCTCACAATTACTAAAGCTGAGTTAGTGCTTGATAGTAATAGTATTATGATGGGCATCAAAACTCTGAAACTCGTTGATAGTTTCCGAGGCTTTCTTATCTTTTTCCTTGTATAGTTCGTGCAAACGAAGCATCACTTTGATGATATGGAAAAGAATTATAGTTTCCTGAGCTGGTTTTCCTTAAAAGTCTTCGAAGAGATAAAAAAGTGGAAAAAAAAGCAAAAAAAAAATCAAAAAATCAAAAATTATCATAGAAAACTGTAATGAATTCGTTTGCATAAGAAAAATATGATAGTGAGGTAGCGATGAAATAGAATCATCCTCTATTTCCAAAATTATGACGAATTATGACTTAAACAGGAAAAATAAAAGTATGAAAACGAGATTAATTGACGCGGACGGAAATCAAAAACAATCTTTCACAAAGAAATTTCGGAATACTAGTTCTTTCACTTTATCACATCATTTGATCAGTGTAATGGTTCACTGGGCGGGTCCCAGGACTCTTGGCATTCACTTTGTCGACTAGCGTTCATCGGTTGACTGCGTGCTTGTCTTCTTTATGGATCTCGCAGAATTCTGGTTTAATATATCTCCTTACGAACTCGAAGATAGCCAGGCTAAGGCTTTCCGCAGTATGTTCGTGATTTATTGCCGGAGCGATTTGAGGACGTCGGGTATCAAACTCGTGTTGTGCGACGCCGAGCATTATTAGCCATTCGGCCACAGGCCCCCACAAAGTACTATAAATAGCAGAAATGCTAAAAATAATATTATTATGAAATTTTTACTCACATAACACTTACACAAACTTGCCAGAGTACGATCTTCGAAAAAATGCAATAAACTGATTTATAAGTGCAGCCGGTGTCAAAATAGCAAAGAACGAAAGGAACCTACGTTGAAAGTGAAAAAATGAAGTTAACTGAGAAACGGTTATATTACAAAGTAAAGAATGATTTAAAATCCTGGAAAACGTTTTTCAAGGTGGCCCAAAGAAGAAGAGAATCGATATTCTAATTTATGCTTTGTTTTGAATTAACTGAGTGAAGTTGAGATTGCCGCTTCGATCGGTCTTATTCACACAATGAGACTCTGATTGCCATGGTGATTTTATGGGGAAACGCTTCTTCGACTAACAAATCAACTCCACGCTATCGAGAAGTAGTTCTCTCTGTAATCTCGAGGGAATTATTCAAACTCGTTTGGAATCGAGATGACACAAGCGATAATACATCGTCGTATGTTTTTGAGAATCTGTTATTTTTTCGGAAATGTGAAAGAGTAATGTAAATAAAATAAAAACATTGCCACGCGCTCCAGGTATGGGTAAAACGTGAGTTTAATTTCCGCCTGGAGTCGAAAGTTTTGGCTATCACACAGCATCCTCGGGTAAAAAAGTTGCTTTTGTGTAGGCTAAAATGTCAGTTCCTTCCTCACCTCTGAGTCTTGGATAGTCATTTCGAATACCCAAGTCATTACAAGTTCAACGCCTTGATGCTATGGAATATATAGTTAGTTATTAGCTTTCCTGTTTTACTCGATCCTGACGTCACATATTCTGTGCGTACACCATTTCTTCTACCATT